GGTGTCCCCGGACAGTCCCTGAGATGGGAAGCAGGGACTGCACGTCGGATCCCGGTGCGTTATCAACGTCGACTTTTCTGCCTTAGATGGTTATGGTGTCAGCACACAGAACATATCCCGCGGAGACACACACAGGAGCACGGCTCTGACACGAGTCGGCAGAACTGACGACAACACACACACCACACGTGTCACACGTGTCGGCAAACACCGCGTGTGCTCATCCAGGCACGGAAAGCACACGCATGGCCACACGCCCGGAGATGTGGACGACGGGCGAATCTAGGGGAAGGGATCGGGGGTGTTCTCTGTACTGTCCTGGCAACTTTCCCACGGACTTGAAGATTTTCTCGCTAAAAAACCCGAAAAGCATGTTGAACAGCACCTGTCCTCCATCCAGCAGCTGCAGGCCCAGGAACGGGGCGCCCGTCTGCAGTCTGGCGCCACCTGGTGGCCACCGTGCCCAGGCACCGCTCGGCCCAGAGGCTGGGGGGCTGGGCCGCAGCGGCTGGGGGGGGCGGAAGGGGGGGGTACCCCGCCCAGGACAAAGGGCTGGGAGGCCGGCAGCCCCCTGCCACCTGCCTCACCCTGGGCTCCTCACCGCAGGGCCCCGTCGCGCAAGAGAAGGGTGACTACGTTTCTCTGTTCAAAGTTCGACCACGAAAGCACTTGCACGTGGTTTCCCACGTCTTGGTTCACACGTTGTCACGAAACGTACAAAAGAAAGAAGCAATGTTTTACTTAGGGCCCAAAAGGGACTACTGTGAGCACTGAGAGTTCCGCATTTACTGCAACGGCAGCTTGATCTGCTACTTCTTGGCAGCAAAAGTTTTTCAGAGGTAAATCACTCAAGAGGAAAAAAATACGCGAACATTTATCCAAATTCAGTTCTCCCAAAAATTAAATAAGAGGTTAACAGGCGTCACATAAAAATTTCTGTGGGCCTCACGCCGGTCAGAGTGGCTAAAACGAACAACTCAGGAAACAACGGATGCTGGTGAGGATGTGGAGAAACGGGAAACTTCTTGCACTGCTGGTGGGAATGCAAACTGGTGCAGCCGCTCTGGAAAACAGTGTGGAGGTTCCTCAAAGAATTAAAAATAGACCTACCCTATGACCCACGATAGCACTGCTAGAAATTTACCCCAGGGATACAGGAGTACTGATGCATAGGGGCACTTGTACCCCAATGTTTATAGCAGCACTTTCAACAGTAGCCAAACTATAGAAAGAGCCTAAACGTCCATCAACTGATGAATGGATAAAGAAGTTGTGGTTTATATACACAACGGAATACTACACGGCAATAAGAATGAAATATGGCCTTTTGTAGCGACGTGGATGGAACTGGAGGGTATTATGCTAAGTGAAATAAGTCAGCCAGAGAAAGACAGATGCCATACGTTTTCACGCATATGTGGATCTTGAGAAACTGAACAGAAGACCATGGGGGAGGGGAAGGGGAAAAAAAACAGACACAGAGAGGAAAGGAGGCAAACCATAAGAGACTCTTGGATGCTGAGAACAAACTGAGAGTGGATGGGGGGATGGGGGAGAGGGGAAAGCGGGTGATGGGCACTGAGGAGAGCACCTGTTGGGATGAGCACTGGGTGTTGTATGTAAGTCAATTTGACAATAAATTATATCCATTCAACAAAAGAATAAAATACAGTAATTACACAAAAAATTGCTGTGGGCCAACAGACTAAGCAAAGTTGACACAGGTTTCCTTATTGCAGGACTGCTCAGGGCCTTTATTGCTCAGAGTACACTGTAACTTCTCTAGAGGGATTATGGCACAATGAGGCTCCCAAAGCACTTAGTGACATAGGCCAGCCGATGAGATTCGTGCCCCACAACACACTTTGGGGAACATTCTTCTAAATCGTAAGATAAGGCATCTACAGAGGGTCAGAGCATCGTTTTATAAGACATGCAAAATCTTAAAATTAAAAACGTGGGTTTCTTTTTTTCAATTTAAGATTTTTATTTTTTCAACGTAAGGCTACATCGAGTAATCTAACAAAAAGTTGCTCTCGACTCTCCTCTTTACTTGAGAGTAAGAGCGCCCCCTCACCACTTACACTCAAGCCCACACCGGAGGTCACCGAAAGAAGTCAACGATAGAAAACACAAGGGGGGGGGGGG